CTAACTAGTGTTGCACCAAACAGGATATCTCTTTGAGGGAAAACTGTGCTCGAATGGGCTTTTTCTCTCTGTATTGGGATTTTCAGCTTTATGCTGAATTTTAACGCATGTTGGCAAAAGTCCAACATACTGTTCTTTTTCCTTTGGATTTTTCCAAAGACAAGAAAAAAAGCCTCCACTAACCTCTTGGCGACAGGTAGAATCAAGGTGAAATCTCCTGGAGATTTCTCATTTCGACGGTGAAACTACAAAACCACGTTTCTCGGTTTTCGACGTCGGAAATTACTTGTCATATTTCACTTTTCAAGTGACTCAACGAAATTCAAGGTCGCAATTCTTGAAAGCTTATGAGATGTTCCGTCCAGATGCGAGGAGAACTCTGGGTTTTAAGGAATGATATTGATTCTTTTTCTTTCAAAAATAAATAAAATGGAAGCGGAAATTTTTAAACGCCGCAAAGGAGACGCGTAGACTTTCACCGTAGATTTTCTTACGAACTATTATCAACGCAAGCGGTTTCGTAGTTGCAGCTCTCTGCGAGATTATAGTGACCTCCGTAAAAAGCGAGAAAGAATGGGTATCGATTAAATCCGTTTTCAGGCCCACCTTAGCAGAATACACTCAAGTCTTCAATTTCATACTCATTGAAGGTCTACATATATTTTACGGAATGCATCATGATTCGGTCATTCTTAGTCTCCTTTCGGGTCCAGTTCTGGCCTAAACATGACCTAGAGGCCGATTCTGGTGAAAAATGCAAGCTGGCGAGTTTGCAGTTGAATATCGAAAAATCTGCACTTTCTGCCTTTATCAGCCCTCATTAGCCCCCCCCCCCNACCGCATGTTTAGGCCAATATTATAATGACCAAATCAGGATGCACTCTACAAAATGTAGACCTCAAACGAGTAAAAAATGGTTGAGTTGGGGAAATTCAGAGGGGCCAAAATACGGCCTCTATCGATAACCTTCCTTTTCGCAAAACTTAAATGTCTAGCAATGAAAAAAAATTGAAAAATCGCTTTTGGTTGGCATTGACAAAGAGAACAATTGTTCCAAATTTCGAAAATAAGACACCTCAACGCATGACGATCACGGCGCAGAGCTACAACTATTCGTACTTGATGGATGTCTGTGCTGCATCTGCAAAATTGAAGGCGCTATGGCGCGAGGCGTAAACTCGCAATACTCCGCTCTATGCTGCCAATGAAGCGTCCCTCAAATTCTGCAGAAAAGTTTAAAAACGAGACCGAACAAAGTCCTTCCTATCTTCGGCTGCGTTGCTCATGAAGCCCTCAAAGCACCATCACAAGTAAGACAAAAGGAAACAAAAACGGTATGAAAATAAAGGGAAGGAAATAAGGTAACGCTAATGACGGCGCAGAGATGCAACTATTCGTGCTTGATGGATGTCCGCGTTGCATCTGCAAAATTGAAGGCGCACTGGCGCGAGGCGAGAACCCATGATGGCCCGCTCTATGCTGCCAATTAAATAAATGAGGTGTCACTCAGGCTAGGCAGAAAGGTTGAAAGATGAGGTCCGAAGACGTCTTTCCTATCCTTCGGCTTTGTTGACGCTTGAATGTTTTCTTCAATTTTTTTCAAGTTATTGTCTGATTCTTTTTTTAACGATGTATTTCAAGATCTTCATCTTAAGTTCCTTCAGAGGAGATAGTTGGGTCTATTTGACCTGGCTACGAATTTCTAAGGTTAGTTGTGGACCACCCAAAAAAAAAAATGTTTATTCATCCTTTTCCATAGGTTTAAATGGCAGATCAATCGATTTATCGCAAACGCTCCATTTCCTCTTCTTCTCCTCTATCTAGCATATAGTCTATAAATTTTAATAAATAGCCCGCAATTTCCTCGTAAAAACTTTATTTGCGAATGACAATTCAGCAATGTTGGGAATTAAATAGGTTCTTAAGTCAAAATAAGACGCAAGTGGTATATGTGATGAGAAAGGTTCAAACTGAATCGTAAAAGGGGAACACCACATAATTAAATAATACCTATCCTGGAAAATCTTTTTCGAGTAACAACCGTAAAAAAGTCCATCACTTTCCTCCACCTATTCGAACATTCGAATAGGTATTCGAATAGCTCTCGTGTCAAAACTGGATCCATTCCAATTCTATCTGGTAATCCACCGAAGCTCCACTGTGACAGCTGTTTTGATCCAACGGTAAGGCACTTCAAAACTCCTTCTCTTTGAAGCTGACTGGCTGTCAGCATTTATTCTCGTGGTTTCACGAAAGACAGAAGCACCTGACACCTACACCTAAGTCTCAAAGTTGCTTCGATCGATTTTTGTAGATGGCGCCGAACCAAATATCGTCACTCTTTAGAATTTGGAGCGCTAGTATTTGCGTTTGAGGTGCTGTGTTTATTTCGGTTACTTATTCGAAGAGACATAACGATGGCCAAAGTGAGGAACCCCGTACCACAATTGCGGTGTTTCAAAATATCGCCTCTATTTTATTTTTTAGAGGAAAAACAAGACAACTTTATCGTTTGAAACTTTTACCGAATAATGTGATAAAGAAAAAAATCAAGGAAGTTTTCAAGAAATTAAAGCGACTAGTTTTCCAATGGAAAAATTAAGAATAAGAGGGAGTTAGTAACGCTGTAAAGTTACGTGGTTTCCCATTTTGGCCAGCAAAACGCTATGTTGGCGAGATCCCTCCCTCCTCTGGGGGATAGTGGGGATCACTGATTGTGAGATGCGACGTTCTGTTCTGTTTAGGTAACGACCCGTGGATAAAACGAACACTACGGTTATGTTCTTTTGGACAGTTAACCATTGAGTTCAAATATTTTGGTTTGATAGACGTCGGAATAACTTCACTGGAAAAAAAAGCACATTGGATCTAGAGTCCAGACTCTTAAAAACATCGACAAGAAAAAATACTGTTGATTCAATCAGAATCTTGCTTAAATCAAGAACCATGCCTCTTAATTTAAGCGGATTTCGTTTTGATTCAAGCAAGAATCCGATTGAATCAAGAGTATTTTTTCTTGTCAATGTTTTCAAGAGCCTGGACTCTAGATCCAATGTGTTTTTTTTTTTTTTTTTTCCAGTGTTAGTTAAATTTCAGGTTTTATCCGCTATTATGAATATTCTTATAAATATCTGACCTCAAATTTAGGTTTTTCGTCGAAATACATCGTCTAACTTCAAATTTCACGCAAATCGATCCGAACGCTCCGAGAAATCAATATCGGAACGTTATGGATCAATGTTTGAATGATGATTTCTCGTCGCTTTTAAAAATCCGCCCCTCACTCGCGGCATCAAAAGCGTGTAATGCAAGAATTACAGAGATTCATGCAAACTGTCAGTTCTTAATTTAAATTCCTGCCGAATATCGCCTCTCAAAAGGCATAGGATAGGTTCATAGCAATGCTTGCAATATCCCTCCGCCTTGAAGGGCACGTTACCAAAGGTGAAATCAACACTCGAATCGATACAAACCGCTGAACCTAGGTAACCAATTCGAGATATTGAAAGCTCAAATTTCATTCCAAAGTTGAGGCATTGTTGTGACAGGATTCAATGGCACTTGTCAGTATAATACGCCACACGATAACTTATTCAACTATCTTGTAGTTGTTTTTGCCTGAGCAACAATTTGAAGGAGTTTCTTAGACGCTTCCTCTGTACATCGCACTTTTCAAATCAGGATTAAGGAACAGTCGCATTTTACTACATTTTCACTGATGGCTGATTTAACGACGCACAATTGGAATCTGCATTATATTTTGTCAGCAAAAAAGGGGGAAAAAAAGAAAGAAAGAAAAAAAACGTAACACCTTGAAACACTATGGGAATTTCTCCCATACTACGAAGAATATACCTGTTCCCGAAATTGCAAGTAAGATTGCTGCTCACTTTTTTGCATGCAAAATATTGGCCCTAACATGCGAAGAGATCAGGCAATGAGTAATGCAGGTAAGGTTATTCTGGTTACATTTTTTTAATGAAAGTAAAAAAAAACACGCACAGATCGAGATTTGTGACGTTGCAGATTCTTTACACATTTTAATTTTTTTAAAAGAAAAACTTCTGAATATTTACTATTAAATATTTTCAAAATGAAGGGGCGAGAAGAAGATGGTCTTACTTACAATTCAGCGTCTCAAAGTTTAATTTGAAAATATATTTATTTACTAAAGAATGGTTGAAATCATTGAGTCAATTCGACGACACTTTACGGAAATATACATTGTAATATACACCTGTGACTGAATGAAGAAATAAGTTTTTAAGTAAAATTTTGCTTTTCCGTCTTGAAAAAACGTGTAAACATTTTAAAGAATGACCCAGGTCCATCGGTATTTTTTTAAAAACTGTTTCTAACAATAGTGACAACAGAGATTCTGAGGAGTCGAAATTAAGCTTAAAATGTATTTAGACGTGCCAAAAACGAGCCCAAAAAAAGAGGAAAGACCAATTGCAGCGAATTATTCGCACCTGCAAAAATAGAAATCCTAGTGCTTGACTGTCTTGAAGTCTATTTGTAGCTGAACTAGTGTTCGAAAAGATGCGATCAACAATTTCTGGAGAATTTTGAATTATAGGTAATGCAGTGTTGCAGGCTGAAGATAATATTTGTGACTGATTCAAAAGAATCATTGACAAAAAGTTGGAAAATTCAAATTACTGAAATGGAATAATCCATGAGTGCTGCATGCGAGAAAAGAATCAATGCAGTTCCTATACTTATTTAGCAGAGAATCCCCTGCTTCTTTTTTAACCCCCCCCCCCTCCCCCACCGACCAAAGACCGAAGCGCAGGGGCTGTCACCCTTTTTTTACCTTAAAAATCTGGCGTCCTCTAAAATTCGGCTTTCCAAGCCTCTAGGTAAGGCATTTGCAAGGGGTTTTTAAGGGGAAATTTACCAGCAAAGATAAAATTAACTTTTTTCCAACAATTAGTTTTTAATCCAGGAATCACATGAGGGATCTGAGATAATGCACTTGAATGCAAAATAATACTTACAGCGCGTATTATTCCTTAATTTTTCATTTACTGACGCACATCTTTCTAATTTTTTAAACTCATTTTTGATACTCCCCTGAAAAGCGGAAAATACAAAAAAGTTCCAAAAGCGCGATGGAATTGGGGATGCATTGTATCGTTATCATCGTCAAAACGAACTCTTCCGGAGGAACACGGTACTACAAAAATGTGCCCCAGTGCTAAACTAGAGGTTCCTTATCGGCCGCTATGTTATGCTCCATGAACTAGTTCCGTGTTGGTCTGTTGGTGTGGTGTATGTGTGAGAGTGTAGTGGAATGCGGAATGTTTTGTCATTCGGTCGATCGTTGAAGTTTGAATCTCACCTAGATCTAATTTGTTACTTCTTTTCTACATAATTTATTAAATTGCTTAGATGATAAGTTCTGTTTAATTTTTTCAATCATATCATTTCGTTTTGTGTTCTTTTTTCGTTTTAATTTTCGGATAGTATCGGCTTTGTTTACTCGCGAATTTCGCACTCGGTTTTAGGTTATGTTGTGTTATTCCCACTGTTATCGCGGCTTGAATTTGGCTTGAATTCATCAGTGAAGTGTTTTGAGTGATAGTTGATTAATATTTAGTGTTTAGCAGTAATCTACAATGATTATGTGTTCAATTTAGCGGTTCAAGCTGTCTTCGGATTGCCTTCTTCAGGTTTCCCCGCCATGAACTGATGATTTGGTGAGTATCTGATGTAACGTCTTCTCCGTCTGAAACACATTTTTAATTGGATGTCATCAGAAATATTCTTCCTGAATATCCTATTCGTTTTAAAATGAACGAATTAACAGTTAGCGCGAAAGCACTGATTAAGTCATTCAAGTCAGTCGCAGGTGAGTTCTGCGTTCTGAAAGGAGGTTTCGGCAGACAAGATCATGTATCCCTATCAAAGTTGTCATGCCGTTTTGTCAATGCCAAGGGCATACTTTGCGGTAAAGCACCAGAGCTCAAGCAATTTTTATTGTATCTAATGCACAATTTTTACTGCTAAATTTTACAAACTCCAGAGCAACTGACAGTCTTATCAGTTTTAAAGTGCAGACGAAAGTGAATATATCACGAGTTGTCTGTGTTCTCTATTTATTTCTGAAAGCAGTCCTTAGTAAAATAGAGGATTGATCTATAAAGATGTATGTGTGGTTATCTGTACAGGTTGTTTCTTATGATTAATCACACTTCGAATGGGCTTGTAATTTCCCAACAGTGGTAAAAAATCCTGCATAGGTACTGTAAATTTAAATGTAGCAATGCTAGCGCAAACTCATATACCACGTTTTTCTCCCTTCAAACAGTGTTTGCGCTCATTAATATGACAGTTTCATTTTGGATGAACAGGAAATGCTGTCTTTTCATGTACATAGTACGCAGAGAGAATATTTTTCAGAAGTGAAATTGCATTTTCTGTAAAGAATAACTTTCATCATGCACAATTAAAACGCATCATCATGAATCAAATGTATCTAGCTCCAAATTCCTACGATCCATGCGCCACTTTATTTTAAATCTGAAATGAAAAATTGCAATGCATTTAAACACCTGAGAACACTCACACACAAAAAAAAACAACAATCGGTTTGAAGTAGGTATATTTATTGAAGCAAAATGAAAAACAAGTTAATCAGCCAAAATACACATAATAAAATAACAACTTAATTTGGGTAAAAGGCTGCAATAAAAAAAACAAAGGATAAACAAAACCCGGAACGTTTCAAAATAGTTACAATTTCATTTTCAACCGAAAAAGAAAAATTAAAAATAAAAACAAGCCGTCTCTATGCTGTTATTAGTCTCGGTCTTGCAACAACAGCGCAGCGACGGCTCGTTTTTATTCTTAATTTTTCTTTTCCTGTTGAAAATAAAATTCTAACTATTTTGAAACGTTCTGGGTTTTGTTTATCCTTTGTTGTTTATTTGCAGCCTTTTCCCCAAATTAAGTTGTTCTTTTATTGAAGCAATATCAAGGTTTTTTTAAACTCAGTAACTATTGCAGCATTCCTACAGCTTTTCAAAGTGCCTCATATGTTTGTTCGTTTGTCTGATTTCAGACAGCGGATATATCCTCAATCACCCGGAAATGTTCAGTTTTATGAAGAAAGGCTCCACCAGTGGAGCAGTTCCTGTTGACAAAGAAGAAAAAGAAAAACGGAAACGAGAGAAGAAGGAACGCAAGGAAAAAGAAAAACGAGAAAGAGGAAGTATGACTGCAGAAGAGCTACTGCGATTAGATGAGGTGGGTACATAAAGTCTTTAAATATATTCATCACTATTATTGACAGCCAAAGTGGGAAACGACGTACCTCCATTTGTGATGTAATCGCAGACTTCCTGCCATACTTCATTTTTTCTTTGAAAAACTAGGCAACTTAATTTCTTGAAAACTTGTCTGTCATCTCTGACGTCAGAATGTTCTGTCAAAATCTCAAGCTATATAGGTAGTTGATTAGTCCCACTTTGAAAACTTAAAATAGGAGCAGAGATTTTGAAACACTGCAATATAGATAAGTTGTTTTGCACTTTAGCTATCAATATGTGGATGTGTTTCAAATTGAAAAGGTCACGCCTAAAAAAACACTGCTCAATTGACGGAAACAATTTTTAGTGAGAAGGTTTTGTGCACCCTTAATACGCAAGAAGTAGCCCTCTTGGAGGAAATATTATTTTTTAGCCCTCCTCTGATTGGTTATTTATTATGATGCAGAAAAGAACAATAGATAAACAATAACTCGAATGCTTACCTCTAAATATTTTACAATGAATAGTTTGCAGTTTTGGCTGACGATTTGTTACTGCCTAGTTGTATGCATGTAGATGGTGAGTTTGCGATGGTGTATCAAACTTCCGTACTGAACTAAAACTCTCATGATAGAGGGAAAAAGCTTTTCAACGGTGAAACTACTAAACCATGTATCTCGGTTTGCGACAATGCAGACTTTCTGCCATGCTTTCATTTTTAAATGGAAAATGACTCAACTTTAAATCTTGAAAACTTCCTTGATTTTTCTGCCCTTCTTGAAGATTTTTCTGTGAAAACTTCAAGGATTGATATTGATTTGTTCTTCTGCAATTAAATAAAATGGAAGCAGAGATTTCTGAACACCGCAAACGAGATACGCTATATGGCAGTTTCACCGTCGTTTGGTGATTTAATTGAATGTAGTGTTGTTGACTTTTCGCCAAAAATTGATTAAATCGAAAGTATCGACTGCGTCCAAAAATCGATCAAGTATTCACAGAGAAATCAAGGCTGAAAAGTGATTTTCAAGCAAATTGCTGTGAAAAAATCAGGGTGTTTAGCATCAGGAAAAATCGGAAAATATCAGGAATTTTGGCCGATCAGGTAAAAATCAGGAAAATCTGAAAAATCGAACGTTTTATCAGGAATTTTTCTTACGCGAATCCCCTCAGCGGAAAAGTCTTACTGCTTTTTGCCTGCCGTACCAGGAGTTGTCGCGCCGTCTTCGTTTCCGATAATTTCTCACTCGTAGCGCTTGTGTCGTTTAAAGAAGGCCTCATTAAATATCAGGAATTTTCAAAATGGAAAAATCAGAAATTTTTAAAAAATATCAGGAAAATATCAGGATTTTTCAAAATTAAAAAATACTATCCACCCTGAAAAATGGATTTACAGGAAAAGTGTCATGTTGTTCGTTTCTCTTTAGTTCTCGCCTCACTGAGCGTTGAGTTTCATTGTCTCTTAAATTGGGGCTATGTCAATGGCTTCCTTAGTTTTGAAGAATAATATAGACTCATTGCTTCCTTAATTATCTAGGGGTAAACATTTTTTGAGGAAAAAATCGAAAAATTTCGATTTCTGAGTGAAATTTGCTTCAAAGGCAAAATTGATTAAAATGAATCGATTATTTTGTGCACAAAATGGATTTCTTCCGAAAATCGATAAAAAATCAACAACACTAATTGAGTGTAAGTAACGAGTGATGCCTCTAACAGTATATCGACGGTGTAAGTCGGCAATCACATAACTCGGTTTGCGACGTCGCAGACTTCCTGTCATACTTTATTTTTTAAACGGAAAACTACTCGACGGCAATTCTTTAAAACTGCCTTGATTTTTCTTCTCTGTGCGAAAAAAAATTTGCAAAAACTTCAGGGAATGATGTCAATTTGTTCTCCTTTAAAAAAATAACTTAGAGACGGAGATTTTTAGACACCGCAAACGAGTTATGTGATTGCCGACTTACACCGTCGATATGTGATGGATAATTGTGCTAAAATGAGTTATATCCCTCCTTTTTATACCATACCCCAGCCCAAACGATTCGAGGCGGTGCAGTATCTGCGATCACGCGATCGGTGAGGAAATTTTCGGGAAAGTGAGGAAATTTTTGTTTAAAGCGACACCAACAAAGTTTTCGGAAAAAATCCCGGATCGTGAGAAACTCTCGGCCGAATGTCACTTTTTGCACCCCTGAAAAATTGTGTGATCTTCTAAGTTCTTCCCCAACCGCTTGAAATATTGCGCATATGCCGCGATATGGAGTCGAAAAATGCTTAATTTTTTATGATTTTACAAACCCGTTGAAAGCATTGCGTACTTGCTCCGATATTGAGAAGCGCCATGTCGATTTTTCTAGAATCCTTGAAAAAATAGAGCATTTCCAGCGACATTGAGATAAGATCTTGTAGTTTCTCACATTTTGGCAAATCCCCCGGAAAAATTGCGTAATTCTCGCGATATCGGTATAAAAATCGCGTGAGTTCTTCTAATTTAACGGAACCGCTGGAAAAATCGTGTATTTCTCACGACATTGAGATGAAAATTGCGCAATTTCTCACTTGTTCCCCAAACCGATGCATGCTTGATGAATCCAGTAAGTATTATGAGCTTGCATCGTTTAATGATGATTTCGAGCGTGCAACTATTCGAACTCCGGAGTAGGTATGTGGTATCACGTGAAACCGAAGGAAAATGTTATCTCTTCCCCTGTCTGAAATGTCTGACGTTTTTAATATTGCGCTCGCATCCTTATCCAAATCTCGTACATCCCGCGATATTGAGGTGAATATCGCGTGATCTTTTATGTTCTTACAAAACCACTGAAATTTCATGTCTAAGCCGCGATATTCAGGTGATGTCCGCTTGAATTTTTTTTTTTTAGTAAAACCGCTCGAAAAATCGAGTACTGCCGGGATACCGAGTTGAAATCGCGTAATTCTCGCGACTTAGGCATGAAAATCGCATTATTTCTTTCTTTTATACCAAAACGCTTCATAAGTGATGAACGTAGGCATTATGTTCGCATCATTAAATGAGGACATTAAGTGCGCAACTATTCGAACTCAGGACTGGGTATGTGGTATCACGAGACATTGAAGGCAAATATTGCCTGTTTGCCTGTACTTACGTTTATGAATGCAGGTACCCTGCTCGCATCAATAGGCTCGAAAATCAAGCGCGTAACTACCCAAATTTTGGAGGAAGTATGTAGTATCACGCGAAACTGAAGGGGAATATTTGTTTTTCGCCGGTCTCTAATTGCTAACGTGTATACATATGAATGTTATGCTCGCATCGTTATCAAAATCGCTTATTTTCCACATTGTTGAGGTGAAAATTGTTTCATCTTCTATGTTCGCACACAACCGCTGGAAATATCACATATTATATGTCTTGATACTGATAGTGAGTTAACAAATGCGGAACTATTTTATGATTCTTCTGTTGATCCCTTGGAATAATTGCATATTTGTCGTGATTCAGAGGTAATGTCTCACTTCCTTACTGAAAATACAGAGATAAAAATCCGTAATCTCCCTTGAATTTTCGAATTCCCTCAAAAAATCGTGTATTTCTCTTGATATATTGATGAGAATCGCGTAATTTTTCCTTTTTCCCACAACCGCTGAATGAATCATGAACGCAGGTTTATGGTGTTACAAAATCGAGTATTTGCCGCGATATGGAGGTGATTTTTGCGTAATGTTTCACTTTTTTACTCAATCGCTGAAAAATCGCGAATTTGTCATGATTCTCGAATTCACTGTAAAAATCGTGTATTTTCCGTGCTATTGAGATGAAAATGACGTAATCTCTCACTTTTCCTGCAAAACTGCTACCCGAATTATGAATGCAGGTATTTTGCTCGCATCTTTTAATAAGGGAATCAAGCGCGCAACTATTTGAACTCCAGAGTGCGTATGTGGTATCCAGCTAAAATGAAGGAAAATCTTAGCTTTTCGCCTGCCTCAAGTCACCAACGTTTATGAATGTAGGCATTACTATCGCGCTAAGGAAGAACGCCGTATAAAAATTCGAGAGTGACCAAAGTCCCTTCGATTAAATGCTTATTTTTGAGGAATTTATGAACATCATTCCTTGAAATTTTCAGGAAATTTAGGTGAAATTGGGATAAAAATTATCTGGATAGTTGGAACAAAAATATTCATCAATTAACCAGAAAATTCGTGTTTTATCGAAGGAAATTTGGCAACGCCTGAAGGTTCATACGGCGTTTTTCTTCAGCACGGCAGATTATGGGCGCATCATTAAATGAGGAAATCGAGCGCGTAACTATGCGAACTCCAGAATAAGTATGTGGTATCACGCGAAACTGAAGCAGAATCTTAGCTTTTTGCCTGTCTTAAAGTATTGATATTTATGAATCATCCGACGCTCTCATCCTTACGGAAATCGCGATATTAAGGTGAAAATTGCAGCGCTGGAAGATCTGATGGATCATACGATCCGCGGATCGCGTGATGGGTAAATAATCGACCAATAGACAAGGTACAAATTTAAGGATTCTAATATATTTTTCTCGACCAGAATTTCTCGTAGAACACGATCCTTGCATCGAAAATTACTGAAATCAACTCCTAACTACGATATTAACGTTTACATTTTACATTGGTTACGAGAAATTTTAATTGCCCGGTCAAAAAAAGCACAAAACTCTACGTGAGTCACTATCGCGCACTACAACAGTTTTGGCAGGCTTCTCAGTCAAAAATTGTTCATTTCCTACCCTTTATCGTTCAAAGTGCACCCTTGTAAAAATTTGCAGTAGAATCTATGTTCCAAAATACCATAGACCTACAGCCGGCTGTAAGATTTCCAATAGCCTCTATAGCCGGCTACACAATTTCTAATAGCCTTTTATAGCCGATCACGGTTCGTTTCAGAGGGAGGTAAATAAAATAGTGTTGCCCACTCAAAATTCCTTCGGGATCTTGAAGTAGGATGCATACACAGTCATTTAAGCCTAAAATGAA